AGCTCGGGTCATGATCTCAGGGTCCTGGGATCGAGTCCCGAATCAGGCTCTCTGCTCAGCAGGGAGCCAGCTTCCCCCTCTCTCTGCCTGCCTCTCTGCCTACTTGTGATCTCTGTCAAATAAATAAATAAAATCTTTAAAAAAAAATCATTTAAGTGGTATTGGATTATAACCCAAAGCAGAAAGGCAATACCCATGAGTCCATATTGCTACAAGTCAATGATGGAATAAATAAATAAATGGAGAAGAGACACATTTCTTGTGCAGAAGAACTCCAAATAATTTATGTAGATAGTCAAGGACTCCCCAGTCCCTGAGGATGGGCCGCACATAGTGACTTCCTTCCAAAGAGGGCAGCATAAGGGGTGGGAGCAAGGATCACTTTACAGAGGCGAGAGCTGACAAGCACCTCGGCCAGGTGATCCAGGTCTATGCCAGCAGTGAGTGCTAAGTCACGTTGATAGTAGGTTCTGCGGACATGATGTGAAGAGAAAGGCACTCTACTTCTGGGTCTTCTGCCCGCAAACTCATAACCCTAGTCTAAGCATCACATGAATGCCAGCGGAGGGATTCCCTACCAAATGCCTTTGAAATACCTGTATTCCTCAAACCTGTCAAGGCCATCAAAACACAAAGAAAGTCTGAGAAACCGTCACAGCCTAGAGGAGCCTGAGACACGAGGACCCAATGTAAGACGGAGGCCTGCATGAGAGGCTGCCATGGAAGCACATTAGGTAAGAGCTGGGGGCTTTAGTGCATGTGAATGTATCAATATTACTTCATTAATTGTGACAAGTGTATTCTATTCCTGTCTGATGTTAACAGCAGCTGTTAAACTGGGGGAGGAGTCTCTGGGAACTCCCTATACTGTCTTTGGAACTTTTCTGTAAATCTAAACTTAAAAAAAAAAAACAACAAAAATCATTTGGGTGTAGAATGAATTAAAGTGGCTTTTCGATTGCCTTGTTGCTGGATACACACAAATCAAAAATGGGCCAGTATATTCCAAATACGTATCAGAGACGCAGACTGCTGGGAGGGTAGGTGGGGAGGGCCGGAGGGGTGGAGGGGTGGAGGGGTGGGATATGGTCAAGGTCATGGAGCTCCTAGTGGAGCCAGAAGCCTGGTCTCCAAACTGTTCGCCTCTGGAGGGGCGGGTATCCAGGTGATCTCTGAAGACCCTTGGAGCTCATAAAGCCTGGGGGCCACCTATAATGTCTGCAGTTTTGTTTGTTTGTTTGTTTGTTTTCATTTTTTTTAAGTACTTAAAAAAAAAAGATTTTATTTATTTACTTGGGAGAGAGAGAGAGAAAAGGATAAAGCACCCGAGTAAAGGAAGGTACAGAGGGAGAAGCAGGCTCTCTGCTGAGCAGGGAGCCCAAGGTGGGACTCGATCCCTGGACCCTGGGATCATGACCTGAGCAGAAGGCAGACACTTAACTGAGTGGTCTGCAGCTCTGAAAACGAGGAGCACATTGTGGGCTCAGTTTCCCACCCTCCTGTGGGAGGAAGTTACCTGGCCAAGGGCCCTCGCTGAAGGTCACACCTTGTAGACTCTGCTCTCACTAGTCACATGACCTCAGGCAAGTGAGTGAACCTGTCAGAGCCTCTGCTGTCTCCTCGAGGATAGGAGGATACTAATAGCACGGAGCACCTGACAGAAATCGCAGTGGGGATAGATATGATCGTGCAAAGACCAACTCTGGGTAAGAGTTGGCCAACGTTCTTACCAGAACATGAACTTTGGGCTTTGCATCTGCTTGAAAACAGAGATGTGAAGGCGGGTGGGGGCGGGTAAGGGCAGAGAAGGAGGGGGCAGGGAAAGGAAGAGAAGGTTCATCTGGTCCAATTCTGTTGGCTCAGGGCTGGCCCTGTCCCTGAGGCCTCGGCGATGCAGTGAGTGGGATCAGGGTGTGGGCCTGGCTGACCCCCTTTAGGGCAGCTTCCTTCCATCTTAACCATGGCCGCTCTCTCAGTCCCGGGATCAGATGCAGGCCTCTCTCTGGATGTGGGTGTCACGTTAGGACCCAGCCTTGGAACAGCTTTCTATTTGCTATCTCAGTCCGTCCCATCTACTCTGCATGACCTGGCTCAGCGTCTGCCTCCTCCAGGAAGTCCGCCCGCATCGCCCCAGAGCTTGGCATCTCTTTCTCGCCATGGTCAGATCTTCTCATCCTCAAGGCAGAGAGGACGTACTGGAACACAAATCCTCACACCCCACAGTGGTGTAGGGCTCTCAGGAGTCGGTGGACAGTAACAGCTTTCTAGTCCTTGGGTGGGATGGCTTTAAGACGTGTGTTTCACACTGGTTCCCAGAATGCTCCGGTAGGATCCAGGTCCCCTTGCAGCCCGTGGTAACGTGCACGACCACACATCTTTCATTAGCTGCCTCCCTTCCCTGTCTTATTTCCCCTGCCAGCCTCCTGGGGTCACCTCCCAAATAAACTACTTGAACTCAAATCCTTGTCTTGGGGTCTGCTTCTGGGAAAGCCCAAACTAGGGTGCTCCTCTTAGCCTCAGTTTCCTTATCTGTAAATTGGGAATAATAACAGATTTAGAGGCCTCCCAGGATTATCACAAGGATGCGAGGAGAGGACACCACACAGGACTTGCCATTAATGTCAGTACCTGGCCCAGCATGGAGAAGGAATCTTCACATTGAACCACTCTTGTTATTTTGATTTGCGCTTATCTTCAACTTTTTGAAGATAGGGCTGACCCCTGGGGCAAAGCAGTCCAGACTTAGGGCCGGCCCACCCTGCCCTGGAGAGGCACTTGCCTTTCCCATGATGGGTCCTCACTGTCTTGTCCATCTGCATGTCCATCCATGCCCAGAAAATGGCCATCCCTTGGCATCAAAACCTTGCACTTGGGTCTACGTTGAGTCTCAACCTCCCAGGAAGGGTGGGAAGCCAATCCCCTCCGAACCTCACAGGGAAGTGGGTGATTCGCTGGTGGACTGGACACGCTGGGAACACTGACTGGGACACTCGCTGGCATGAGTCCCTGATTTTATTTTCCATACAGTTTCTTCATTTGCTCCGAAGCCCTCAGTGAGCTCAAAATAAAAAACCTTTTGGTGGGGTGGGATGAAACAAGGGATCTTGTTTTCTTGAGGATGACCATCAGCTTGCCTGCCCCTGGAGCCCCCTCCCTACTCATCCTTCTAGAGGGATCCATGGACTCCCAGGCTGTCCCTGGTGCTGCAGTGCGGCTGGCCTGGCCTGGGGGCAGGGCGTGTCTGCCACCATACCCAGAAGAGACAAACCCCTGCCTTGGTCTCAGCAGGATTCTGCTGGGCTGTCCGGCCTCCATGGTCCCCACTCCCTGTGGGAGGGGCCTCTGTGGCAAGGGGAGGTTGGAACTTTGTTGGAAGCCCAGTAAGTTGCAGGAATTCCAATCTTTTTTTTTTTTTTTTTAAGATTTTATTTATTTATTTGACAGAGATCACAAGTAGGCAGAGAGGCAGGCAGAGAGAGAGAGGAAGCAGGCTCCCTGCCGAGCAGACAGCACGATGCGGGACTCGATCCCAGGACCCTGAGATCATGACCCAAGCTGAAGGCAGAGTTTAACCCACTGAGCCACCCAGGTGCCCCAGGAATTCCAATCTTTAGGTACAACTGCTACTCGACGAATTTTTATCTAGTCCAAGGTGAGTGAATCCACTAAGCCACTGAGCCCCACAGGGGAGCCCGGACTCTTGCAGCACGACCTGCCGCATTGAAGGGGAGCCCAGCAGAAGCGCCCAGCGGCTGAAATCCCAGCGCGGGATTCCGCGCAGGTACAACATAGCCCGGGAGCAGCCAGACTGCCTGGGTTCTGGGTTCAAGTTCCAGCTCAGGCACTGGCTCGCTGAGTCACCTGGGGGAGGTCACACAGCTTCTGTGCATCTCAGCTACCTCTTCTGTAAAATGGGTCTGATTGTCATGCCCAAGTCAGAAGCTGCCGTGAGCACACACGGCGCTGATTCACGTGCACACCTTTGCTGAGTGCCCGGGACAGAGTGCCTGACGGATCCTGGCTGCGGTCACTGGGGGACCCTGTGGATAACGCCCACAAAGACATACCATGAGCTTCGAGCAAACACGGTTTCTGCAGTGGACAGCTGGCTGCCGGGGCGTGGGGAGGAGGCCCGGGGCTTTATGTCAGGTCAATGAAGTGTGTTGGAAGCAGAGAGAGATGCTGCTGACACAGCGCTGGGAACAGACTACACACACAGCGTGCTTGAAAATGGCTCCTCTTCTGTGATGCGAATTTCACTTCCATAACAAACAAAATGAAAACAGACTTCTGGGAAGTCAGTGAGGGGACAGAGAACAGGTGGCAAAAACTTCGAGAACCCTCTTTACTTCTGTCCGGCTTGATTTTTTTTTTTTTTACAGTGACTACACATGTTTATCACTTTTACAATTAAACAAATTAAATGTTTTTTAAAAAGGAAGTGGTGCGTAAGAGAAAACACATGGGGTGGGTGGCACCTGATGGGTTCTGACTCATGTTTCACTATCTACCTACCTATCTACCCCTGTGATGCTCATAGGACCAGAGTACCTTCGCGAATGGCCCCGTTTCAAAGGGAGAGAAGTGAGCCTCAGAAAAATCTAAGCCCCTTGGCTCAGCTCACAGAGCCTGGCTCCAGAAAAGCTTTTGCCTACGTCACATAGCCCCTGTTCTCTTATATCAACTAAGGGAGTGAAACAGGATCTCTCAGGTGCCTCCAGCTCTCATCCTGGATGCCTGGCTGACTTCTCCAAGTGCCAGTCCTGCTTCTCAGGGGTCCCGGTGCCCAGACAGCCCACGCCAGCCACACAGCTCCCTGTTCTCCGGAGGGGGGATACCTGCTTTCCAAAGCAGGAACCAGATGTCTCACCAATCTCTCGCTCCTCAGTTCTGGAAACAAACACCCCAGTTGAAAAGCTGACCAATCCAAGAAAGGAAAGCAGAAACAGGCAGCTGTGCTTGCCCACCACCGGCCACGAGGTGAAGAGACCTCAACTCACCCCAGCCGCCTCCTGGAGCAGGATCCCGGCGGCCTCCGCCTGCCCCAGACCCAGCTGCAGCCACACAGGACATGTCTTGATGAGCTTCTCCAGGACACTGATGCCCCGCCGGGGAAGGCAGTTCTTCGGGGTGACCGGGGGACAAGGCCCCATGCCATCCTCCTCCTCCTCTTCCTCTCCCTCTCCTTTGCCAACATCTGGAACAGGACTGAGAACAGAATCAAACGATCACCCCTGCTGCAGCCAGCCCCGACCGCAGAGTGTAACAGACGGACAGTCAATTCAACCGTGCTCATTCATTAGGCATCTATGAAGCCACCAGTCTTCTGGGGAATTAAAAAAAGAGACGAACCATGATCCGCACCTTGGGGTGCTTATAATAAAATGGGTTGGATCGACACAGACGAAACCAGCTGAAGCAGAAGATTGGGATAAATGTAACAGGAGTACCATGCAGCAGGAACAGCTAATTCCAACCCCGGCTGGCTTCAGGGAAACACAGGGGACTCCAAGGAACTAAATCTCTCAGGGTATCTGCAGGGGTGAAAACCTTCATCAGACAGAGCGGGCAGTTACACAGGTAGGAAGATGTAGCTGGTGCCTGTCTTTTGCCTGCGTCCCTGGCTAGTGGTTGCTCTAAGGGGCCGCTCTGGGGAGGGTCAGGATGAGCCCCCAAGGCACAGAAGAGGGGAACAGGGTGGTGAGGGAGAGGGGGTTCGAGGGCTGCAAGACCCAGAAGTCCTGAGGAGGGAACAGCTTTTCCTAAAGGCACGGGCGGGGTCCCAGCCAAAATTCCCTCCTGACGTCCCTACTCCCAAATCCTCCCAGAAGCTGTCCCTTTCACGGATGCTGTGTGCACAGGGACACTTGTGCATTTCCCCTCTGGGTCCACACTGAAAAGTGTGCCCAGGACGAACAGGAGTGTCCAAGGCAGCTGAAGGCACCGTGGGGCCGGGAGGGGCGGTAAGGCAGCCCCATGGATGGCTACAGGCTGTGGAACTGGGGCTCAGTGAGCCACATTTGGAGTTCAAGTCCAGGGCAGCCCAGCTGATGCTGATGTAACCTCTTCCCAGGCCCTGAAGTCCGGTCACAGCATCTCCGCTGGGAAAGAAGTGAAAAGGCTGGAGGCCGAAATTACCCTGGAAAGAAGCACCCTGGGGCCTGTTAGTTTCCTCTGACCCTCGAAACCCAAAACTATCTTCTGGCACCAAAAGGCTTCCTGATCATCTTTAAACCTCCTCGCTTGGCCAGGGGCCTCCCCCAGGGGCACATTAGGGCTCTCATGGAAGCTGGGAGTGAGAACTCGCATTTCCGCTCTGCCACCATCTAGGCTGAGGCCGTGGTGAGTCCTTTCCCTCTGAATCTGTTTTCTCATCTATGCAATGGGCAGGTGGTAGCCCGGAAGCTTCCTCCACTTACTGGGTGGTCCTAGGCAGGGCCTGGGCTTTGGGGACAAAGGTCCTTATCTTCTCCTTAGAACCAAAGCCATGATCAAACAGGCTCTGGGAGAAAGGAGGGGGTCTGTCTCCCATTCGCTTGTACTATGAATATTTTCCGAGGGCCTGTGAGCTCCAGATGTTGTTCTAGGAACTGGGTCAGAGCAGAGAACAAGAGTGAAAACCAAACCAAACCAAACCAACAAATCTCACCTATAGGAGAGAAGCCAGGTGACAGACAATGTGAATGAGTGACCTAGAGTGTGTCAGGTCGTGCTGAGCTGTAACAAGGATGTAGATTTGGGAAAGAGCAAAGGCCTTTGAGCGACCTGACCCAGAGAAACCTCAAGGAAGCCTAGGGGCTGGCAGGTGCTGGCTAGAGGGTTGGGGCAAGGGGAGGCCAGAGGGGGCAGGGTGGGTGTCCCCATAAGGATGCTGGAACGACTGGCAGAGTTGACTCTAAGGCTGCTCCCTGCCCCCAGCTCCCTGGAAGTCCCAGCTTCATCCTGAGGACAGGATGACCAAGGAGAAACTCCGTCCAGGCTCCAGAATCATGGGGACCATGCCATGAGTCCTTTGTGATCACGTCCCTTCCTGCTCTAAAACCTTCAATGGCTTGCACTGCCTAAAGGATCCAATCCAGTCTCCTAATATTAAAGGTACTCCCTTTCTGAGCCCCTGCCTTCCCCCATCCCCATAAGCTCCCCACAAAGAGCTGCCCTCCATCCCCTCAGCAAAACCTGCATTTCCCCACTTGGCACTCCTGAGGCTCAGGCTGCCCTATCCACCTGTGATTCCAATGCCCAATGTGATTCCTTCAGGTTCCCTGTTACTAACATTGTCTCCAATGGGCAGGCAAAAGTTTAGTGGATTGGACCAGAAAGTAAGAACCATGAAAGGAAAGATGGATAAATTAAACATACCAAATTAAACTTGCGCCTATCAAAACACCTCATGAAGAAAAGGAATGCGCAAACCACGGGCGGGGAAAAAATATTTGCAAAGCATACATCTAACGGAGAACGAGCAAGTTTGTGTTAAAAATGGGCCAAAGGTTTGAAAATACCTCCAAGGAGACATCTGAATGGCCAATAAGCCAGCGAAAGATTACTTGACATCATTAGTCATTAGGGGAATGCAAATTAAACTCATTAAACACAATGAGATACCACGATACAACTATGAGAATGGCTAAAATTAAAAAGACTGACATCTGACAACATCACATGCTGGTAAGGGTGGGAGGAAACCGGAACTCTCCGGCATTACTGGAGAGACTCTAAATGGGTACAACCACTTTGGAAAAAGACAATTTTTTTTTTTTTTTTTTTTTTTTTTTTTTGGTAAACCTAAACATACACCTTGCGTATGACTCAACCATCTCACTCTTGGGTATCTATCTACCCAAGAGAGATGAAAGTCAATGTCCATGCAAAGACCCATATGTAGATGGGTATTCACTGCAAAATTCTTTCGACTCTTCTGCATGTTTAAAATCTTTTATAGGACACTGCTGGTTGTGTCCTGGATAAATTTCTCCCCATCCCTTAAGACCCATCCAGAAGAAGCCTGTCTGCTTTATTAGAAGTCCTGGGTTCGAATCCAAGCTGTGTGACCTCTGGCCAGTTACGCTACTTCTCTGGGCTTCAGTTTAAGCATCTGTAAAAAGGTAAGAATTACCCTTACCTAATAGCGAGGCAGAGAGAGATGGGTCGAGTGCTTCGCACAACTCAGTAAAAGTTAACTATTATTTTTCTATCATCCTAGCCCTCCAGTTAGGATTCTTCTCATTATAACTCTTTTACTTTGTGGCCTTGATTTTAGGACTTAGCACATTTGATGAGCATGACCATGTAGATGTCTGTGTGTTGCACCTGGCTTGTACCCAAGACAACATGTGAACCCAGAGTTCAAGTGCTATGTGGGCTCAGCGAGAGTCCCCAGCAGTTACAGCTGATGTGGCCGGGCTGTTCCACTAATCACAGCAGTGAAACAAGGCCTGATGGGGTGTCAGCTCTGGGCATTTCTACCTCTGTCATTCTGCTGGAGTCCCACAGCCCAGCCCCAAGCACCATCATGGCACGGGCACTTTGCAGAGCAAGTGACGCCCAGACAGCTCAAGTGACCCAAGGCCCAATGTCAGCAGGGACTCAGGGATCCGAGGGTCTGGCCCCATGGCCCTTCTCCGGCCTGGTCAGAGCAGGTGCCCTCGTCACATTGTCCCTTCAGGGCTCTCGTGCTCCTGTGACTTGGAGCGAGGCCCAAAGCTCCCCTAGCCTCAGCTGCTCCTTTTCTAACTGGCATCTGCTGGCAGAGCCGGTGACCCGGACACCCATGTCCTCGCTCTCAGCAGCCAAACTCTAGCTGAAGGTCCCATAAGGGCAGCCACGGGAAACTTGGGCAATGAACAGGACTGTCAGCAAAAAGTAAGGAGCCTCAGAAACTTTAGTGCAACTCATCAGAAAAGAGAAATCGTTCACGGCCAGTTTCCTTCTGCTCGCTGGTAGGGAGGACAGCGCCACTCTGAGCCAGGTGTCATTGGACACCGGGCTGAGCGCAGGGTGGTCAGACACTAGGGGAGACCCTCCCCCTGCACTGCAGGGACCCAGCCTGGATGCAGCAACCGGATTTATCTGGGGGACTTTGTCACCAGCTCCCTGAAGGAACAGTGAATTGGCACGTCCCCAACTTGCTGGACCGGTGTCTGGGTCCCTGTCACTGCTGAGGAGAGGAAAGCTCTGTTCTGGGGTGGAGAGGCTGCCCCAGGGGGCCCCTCCTAAGTATGGGGTCAGAGCAGGGTGACAGCTTGCCCGGCTCCATGCTGCCTGTTGGGAAGGAAGCCATGGAAGTTTCCCAGCTCACGAGAGCTCCAGCCCCTGGGAAAGAGCTTGGGAAGTTCCAGTGATGACTCCTTGTGAGGGGAACTGAGGCTCCCTTGTGCAGACTTAGCCAGAAGCTGAGCGGAAGGTGGGATGCAGGGAAAGGACTGGCAAAAGGCCATCTTGGTCCCACCCATGATCCCAACCCCAAGCAGCTTCAAGACCGAGCTGGTCTATCAAGACAGAGAGGCCTAGTCCCTGCCCTCACGGGCTCTCAGGCCTGTAGGGGCCAGATGTGGCTCCAGTGATAATATTATGGGATGGCCCCATCATTCTGTACAAGGTGCACAGGCACCCAGGTGACGTGGGGGGCGGGATGGGAGGGGGTCCTGGGAAAGCAGGATAGCAGCCTGCCTGTTTGATGAACAAGGAGCCCACAGCACAACCACGTGTGGGTCTGTTCTAAGTACTCCACGCACTCCCTTAACTTGGCTGACCTCCCACCTGTATGCCTGGGTTGCACTGTGTCCCCCAAAATGGCTTGTCCAAATTTTAACCCCCTGTACCTAAGGATGTGACCTTATTTGAAAAGGGGATATTTGTAGATGTTACTAAATTAAGGATGAGATCATCCTGGATTGAAGACGGGGCCTAAATCCAGTGGGAGGTGTCCTTATAAGCAGAGGCAGTGGAGAGATGCTAGAAGACCACACGACGGCAGAAGAAGAGATTGGATTAGAACGTCTCAAGCCAAGGAGCACCAAGGGCCAACAGCTGTCACCAGAAGGTAGGAGAGAGGATGGAATGGATTCTCCCTCAGAGCCTGCAGATAGAACCATCTTGGCCGACACCCTGATGTTAGACTTCCGGCCTCCAGAACGGTGGGAAGATAAATGTCTGTTGTTTCCAGCTGCAAAGTTTCGGTAAACCGCCACAGTC